TGGTATGCTTTGAAGGACAAAAGACTTAATTTTCATGAAATTCAATTTATCAATTTTTCTTTTCTCCCTTGTGCTTATGGTGTCATAGCTAATCCAACATCACAGACTTTTTTAAAAATGGTATTGGGAATTAAACCCAAGGCTTTCACACTGAGCCACATCCCTAGCACTTTATATTTTTACTCTGAGACAGAGTCTCCTAAGTCACTATGCTGCCCAGGCTGGCCTCAAACTTGCAATCCTCTTGTAACTCTTTAATCCACTGAGTTACTTTTGTATGTGGTATTGAGGTAGGTATTTTTAGATGATTTTATTTTTTTGGTACCGAGGATTGAACTTGGGTCCCTGCGCTTGAGCAGCAGATGGCGAAACCACTGAGCTAAATCCCCGGCCCTTTAAATGATATTTTAAAGGCTAAAATTGGCTTAATCCTTTTTTCTTATTTCCATATCTCATTAACCATTAGCCAATATAAAGTGTACAGTTCCAGACTCTGAGGTTAGACTGTCTGGGTTAGAACCCCAACTCTGTCTCATACGACCTTAGACAAGGTATCTGACCTCTCTGGGCCTTGATTTTCTACTCTGTAAAACCTTAAAATGAAGATTAAACACCAACAACACATATAAGGACTGTTTACATGCTTGTCACTCAGTAAGGAGTGCAGCTCAGTTCAACTATTAATTATTACCTTCCAAGTGGCACTTGAGTTCGTTTGTTCTCAATCACTTTCAAAGGTTCTATCTTACTTGAGGCTACCATCATTTCTTACTTGGCTTACTAAATTCTATTCTTAAATGATTCCCCTGCCTCTAAACTTGATCTCTTCCAAATTCACTATTTTCAATCCATAATGACCACTGTAAAATGCATACCTGAGCATTTAAAATAACAGTTCCATGGTGCTGCCAGGATGGAGTCCCAACTTGTTTACAACTGAGCTCTAGAGACTTTCTGGTTTGGCTATTTACCTCTCCAATCTAATCCCTTACTACCACCTCTACCTGGAGCCACAGAATCAGCCAGACACCATCTTCTCTGGAAACCCCATCTAGACAGTTTCAGCCTCAGTTCAAGGATAAAAACCCTTGTTATGGCACTACGAACTTTATCAACATACTCATTCCTTTTACAGTGTTATATAATGAGCTTACTCACAGCTCTCTGAGACGTGGTGGGATGACAGTATTAATGCATCACTACATTCCCTAGTGAGCACTATACCACCAGTCACAGCATAGATATGTAACAAAGGTGTGGATGGTTAAATAGCCTCATTATCGTGGTGATTTTTTCCATTAGAGAGAAAACCTACATAAACAAAGCCACATCAATAACTTCATGGAAAATTTTTCATGTTTAGAGCCTGACAGTTTCAATTAAACAGGACTACCATTGTTTTAAAAATTAAAATGCATTGGGCCGGGGATTTGGCTCAGTGGTTCCACCACCTGCCTCGCAAGCACAAGGTCCCGAGTTCAATCGCCCGTACAAAAAAAAAAAAAAAAAATGCATATATGCCTGAACTATGGTTGGCTGTTAACATTCAGTACAGGAATTCAAGCAGTGAAGATGTTTGATGTGTCATGGTATACAAAATTCAAGCTAGATAAATTTATTTTTCAACTTGCTGCATTTTTGAGTTCTTGGCTTCTCTGCAAAGGCATGCTCTGGAATTGAGCAAGCATGAATTTCATGCAAGCTCCAATAATATTTATTAAATTCAACTTTCAAAGGGAAAGATTTTGGATAATTTTACTACTTTAAAATTGCTAATTTTTATGAAATAAAAAATCACTTCAGCCAGGTGTGGTGGTGCATACCTGTATACCCAGTACTCTGGGAGGCTGAGGCAAGAAGATTGCAAGTTAGAGTAGCCTGCACCATTTCACAAGACCCTATCTCAAAACAAAAATTTAAAAAGAGAAGGGGCCACAGCCTAGTAAAAAGACTCTGGATTCACTCTGCAGTATTCCCCCTGCAGCCACCCCCAAAAAATCACTTTATAAACTTAACTCCTATAACTCATTACTTAATTTCAATAAAATTCCATTTTAAGCCTTATTTAGAGCAAAAATATTAACTAGGACTAAAAAATGAACTTATCTTTTAGAAATAAATGAGTACGTATTTATTTGGTGAACTAGAAGGGACAGATGGTGGATTCACCTGTCAAGCCATGTAGGTCTTCAATCTTTTCAAGATGAGGAGGTTTACTTTTTAATTAATATTTCAATTTTGATAGTTATTACTCTATACAAATTTTTCATTTCATATTTTGTTAAGTTTACATTTTAATTTCTCCATAAATAAAATCAATTTGTATAGGTTTTTTTTTGTACTAGAGATCGAACTCGGGACCTTGTGCTTGCCAGGCAGGCGGTGGAACCACTGAGCTAAATCCCCTGCCCCCTGTATAGGTTTTTAAATGTACTAGTTTCTACAAAAGCAAAGCAGGAGGCATCAACATCACAGATTTGAAGTTATACTACAAAGTTACTGTGGTAAAACAGCATGGTACTACTGGCACAAAAACAGGCACGTGAATCAATGGGACAGAATAGAGGAAGCAGAAACAAGCCTAGGCACATTCAGCTATTTGATCTTTGACAAAAAGGCCAAAAATATACACTAGAGAAAGACAGCCTCTTTAATAAATGGTGCTAGGAAAATTGGCTATCCACATGTAGAAGATGAGTCTAGATCCATCTCCCTCACCATGTACTAAATTAAAAGCAAAATGGACCAAAGATCTAAACAATAAAACAAACAATCTGCTCGAAGATCTAATAGGTTCAACTCTTGAAAACACACACATAGGCAAGGACTTTCTAAACAGAACCCCAATGGCACAAGAAATAATACAAGAATCAAATGGGATCATACCAAATTAAAAAGCTTCTGCACAGAAAAGCAAACAACCAACAAAATGGGAAAACCAATTTTGGCAGCTATTTCTCAAAGGACATCTATAATACAGAACTAAAATTAAGAAAATCTCCCCCCCAATAAAAGACCTAATCAAAAAATGGGCAACTGAAATGAACAGACACTTCTCAGAAGTACAAATGGCCCACAAATGCATGAAAAAATGTTCAACATTGCTGGCCATTAGAGAAATGCACATTAAAATTACATGAGATACCATCTTACTCCAGAAAGATTAGCTATCATCAAGAAACCAGATAATGACAAATGCTGGTGAGGATGGGGGGGGGCCCCCTCTGGGTGGGAATGTATACTAGTACCACCACTATGGAAATCAGTGTGGAGATTCCCAAGAGACTAAAAATAGTAATTCCATTTGACTGAGTTATTCCCCTTTTAGAAATCTTCCCAAAAGAGTTAAAGTCATCATAGTACAATGATACATGCATACTATGTTTATAGCAGCACAATTTATAATGGCTAGACCTTGGAAACAGCATATATGTCCATCAACAGAAGAATGGATAAAGAAAATGTGGTACTTGTACACAACGGAGTACTACTCCACCATAAACCTGAGGCATTCATAGGCAAATGGATGTGACTTGAGAACAGTGTTAAGTGAAATAAGTTAGCACACAAGCTTAAATATCACATGGTTTCTCTTATATGAGAAGTATGGAGAACTTTTTCAAATGGATGGAACAAGATGGAGGGAGGGGAAAAGGAGAGGGAGGAAAGGGGATGGGAAAAAAGAATTGAAGGGAAAAGATGATGAAAATCGCTTTTGCAAATGGGAAGGGGATTCAGAGTTCAAGGGCATAAGGAGAGAAGGGAGTGGCAGGGGACAGAAAAATAAAACAAGAATTAAGATGTATTGTACACATGTACTAACTCACCATGATAAGTGTAATCATTATGTACTGCAAGCATGTACTAACAAATAAATAAATGTATTGGTGTCCAATTATATTTTCAAATTAAAATACCTTCTATATGGGAAAAACACTATTGGAAACTACAACCAAACTATAAATTTGTGAAGTCAAAATTGATCCTATATAAATATTTTGGGACAAAATTAGTTTAAAAAAATATATATCTTTACTATTTCCTTTGGCAAACAAACCAATATACTGTACTTAGAAACTACCATCCTATAATATTTCCTGTAGAAGCTGCTAACAAACTTACACTGTTAAGGGCCATGTATAACCTAAGAAATTATTTTTTATAACCTAAAAAATTTTTTAGGTTTTGTGGGTGAGATGGTCTCTGTCTTAAGTACTCAAAAACACTGTTATACTAAGAAAGGGGCCATGAACAATACATAAAGAATGAGAGTAATAAAACCTTATTTACAAAAATAGGTGGCAGGCCACCTGCTACCAGGCCACTTGCTACCAAGCCACTGTTTGCCAAGTCCAGACCTACAAGGTGATCTGAAAGTCACACAACTAAGCCTAGTTTTCCCTCACCTCCCAGCGCTGAATCTGGCTCTCTCAATGCCAAAGTTTCACTTTTGGGACTTGAAAGATTCAATCACAGGACATGAACTTGTTCTCTTCTTGCCATGGGACCCCAGCCAATTTCAACTCAGAGGAATGCTCCCAGGGCAAGCCATCAAGAGCTGTTCACAGGGCTCTATGTAAGGAATCAAAACAGTTAAAGGACTTTTCTGTCCCGAAAGTCTTTAGAAGACTATTACTATTCTCAATCTTCAGATGAGACTGAAACTTAGAAAGGATAAGTTACTCACCTAGGGTCTGTTCCAGAGCTAATGCTTAAGTCTCTTTATTAACCTGCCTTCAATATATTGAACCAAAAAGATTAAAATGGTAATCAAAATAGGTAATTAACTGTGTCTCCTAGAAGTTTTATGTCAGGTCACCAAAAAAATATATCATTTTGTCAACTTAATGTTTTTTAAAGAAGTATATGAGTCAGTATTTAAATTATTATTTTAAATTAAGTTCTTGGACATTTTTTCGTGAAGAATTATCTACAATGTAACAAATCACCAGAAAAACAACAAATTCTTTTTCTGGGTTTTGCAGCACCTATGCTCCTACCTGACACTGGTTAATAGCTGCGTGGTTACCATGAAATGGAGACTGTCTTTCTTTATCTCGGTGATGCCGACTGCTGTGTTTACTTCTTTGCAATTGCTGGCGTAATTTTGCAATCTGAAAAGGGGAAAAATAAGTATAAAGAGTGTTTTCACACAAAATAAAAACATATCCTTAAGAACAAATCTCAAAAAAACCTCATCTTTAATAAATTCTTGAATATTTAAACCATATCACACTTACTTTATTGTGCAAAGTTGTTATACATACATGTGCACCTATACACACACGTATAAATATGCATGTATCTTTACTGTAAGGAAAAATACCTATCTTCCAACATTGTTTCAGTCTTCAAGTTTCCCAACTACCAAACAAATGATGTTTTCAGCACAGAGTAAGCTTTCAGAAACAATTAAAATTTAACACTGCCCTTACATAAGTCAACTTTTATTTAAATTTAAGTTTATTGACTACCTAACCTTCAACAGACCCAAAAATTACACAGCATGTGAAAATCTAGTCAAGCCATGCAATTTAATAAATGCAATTTCAGTGATTATCTCACTGTCATCCCTTTACTGAACGTCTCTTACATTAACGTGTAAAATGCAAGTATCATTAATTATAGGGACAAGAAGAGGTAATCACAGCATAGACCCATAACCAATTTGGTTATACTGAATTACCAAATTTCAGAAACATCACATACAGAAAAATAATAAACATGAATGTGTTTATTACTGTAATTTTATAATTCTGACTGTATTGACAAGTATGGACTCTCCTATCAAGGATAGGGGGAGGATAAAACTCATCACATGGTCAGGTAAGGAATGTGTACATTTCCCCATTCAAATCTTCATCAAATCAACACATAACTGTTTTTCTGTTGTACTTTTGGAAGTCAAAACAAATTTTTTTTTAAAAAATCAACAGAAAACAACAATCTTTGCTGCCCACAATTTCCAAGAACTAGTCCAATTTCAATCCCTGGGAACATTTTCCTGACCTCCTTAAGTTGATCTGTGCTGCCCCAGGATGCCGAACGCTTGTGAGACCCTTTCTTCTTCTCAGCGTATTCTTCAGCCCATGCACTCTCTGTCTGCAACAGGAAAAGAGGGAGGAATATTTTAACAAAAATCATTTAATAACCTATGTCACATTCTTTTCTATTATAAAAATGCATTCCCATTACAGAAAAATTAGATATTAGAACATATTTAAAATACCACAAATCACATACAATTTTTCCAGCACTAGTTAATTATAATTAATATTTCAGCATATTTTTATCACTATTAGTTATTAATTACTCTTACATAATTGGAATTAGGTTTTAAGTATATCACTCACTGAACAAAGTGTAGAGATCCATGTTAGTAACAACCAACACTCTTGTGCTCTTATATGCGAGGCACTGTTTTCTCTTATGCTGTATCTGATTTAACAAAGAGAAGTTCTACAAAGTTTGCAGATAACAAAACTAAGACAATGAGTGGCTGGATAAGCTGCCTAAGGTCTCAGGAGCTAGGAAATAAGAAAACCAAGGAACGGCCCTAAGACTCCAACCCTCACATCTTCTTCATACTATGTCTACTCTTGCTTAAGCGTATGCAGAGAACAGGCCCCAAAATATGCAGTCTTTAGTGGTTATACCAAACCCAGAATTTAAAAAGAGTGTACTCAAGCAGAAAACACAAATGAACACTTGGCACTCAAAAACATACTCTGCCAGGGACGTACTCAGGAGGCCAAGGCATAAGCATCATTTGAGCCCAACAAGTTCGAGATCAGCCTGCCAACATAGTGAGATCCCATCTCAAAAATCCAGTTAAAGCTCTACCAAGCCTGTGCAACCTGCTGACAGAAACTCTACCTTCACTGCTGGGAGGAGTACAGCCTTTATGGAGGGGAATCTGGCATCAAAGCTGTAATATCCATTTTGACACTGCAAACCCTGTTTGCAGTTTGGTAATTTATCTTGAAGATATACAAATGTGTATTTTTACATGCAAAATGACCTGTCTGTATTATTCCATATAGCACTGTTCTTACAAATAAAGGATTCAAAGGATATAAATAAATTGGATTTACTGATGCTTGCCTATAAATTGTGGCATGTCTTTATAAAAGAATACTGTATTACGCAGCTATAAAAAATAAATGAAGTTTCGATCCCCGGTACCAAAAAAATAAAATAAAATAAAAATAAATGAAGACAATCACATAATATGTGTATGAAAAACTTTCCCAATATATTTGAAAAACCTCATGACTTAATACAGTGAGTATAGCAACTCCTTTTTATATTGGTCTGATAGCAATATATATGTAAATAAAGTATCTCTAGGGCCAGGGATTTAGCTCAGTGATTTTTGCCACCCGCTGCGCAAGTGCAAGGACCCAAGTTCAATCCCCAGTACCAAAAATAAATAAATAAATAAAGTATCTCTGGAAGAATATACATGGTAATGGAAGAACTGCCCATCAGTGGCTGCCTTGTGGGAGAAGACTCCACCATATAGCCTCTCAAATTTTGTGTTACACAAACACACAGCCTAGTCAAAACAATAAAAAACACTAAGTAATCACTGCACTCTACTGACCAATCACTAATTACAAAATGGTCTGGCTTCAAACAAGGATGAAAAAGAAAAGTTTTCTAAAATCAAGAACCTAGAATCCTAATTAGTCACTGCCTCTGGCTTCGATCGATCTCCTCATAGTTAACAAGACTCTATGTGGGCAAGGAACCTTAAAAACCAAATCAGAAGGACTGCCAGTCAGTTAAAATCTGCCTCCTCGGCCAGGGATTTAGCTCAGTGGTTCCGCTGCCTGCCTTGTAGGCGCAAGGTCCCGAGTTCGATCCCGAGTACCAAAAAAAAAATCTGCCTCCTAACGCCTTCTTTCACCCTAAATCCACTTTTAGTTTAGGGCCACCAACTAACACAATTTTCAAGGGCAACTCCCATTCATGCTTATGATTTCTCACAGGCTCTTTGTATCAGTTGTTAAGACATCTCTCATAAAAATCAACCTATAAACAAAACTACAAAGCATAAAATATAAAAATCAAACTAATGAGCCGGGGATTTAGCTCAGTGGCAATGTGCCTGCCTCAAAACTGCAAGGTCCTGAGTTCAATCCCCGGTACTGCAAAAAAAATAAATAAATAAAATAAAAATTTTAAAAAACTAAAACCAAAGTGAAAGTAATTAATACTAAAAATGTTCAAATTTTAAACACATTGCTTGTTAATCTACAGTACAATGTGCATTAAGAGCCATCTCAGTGAAAGATAACCTCTTTAGCAAATGGTGCTGGAAAATTGACTATTCACATGCAGAAACTCGAAGCTGGATCCACCTCTCTCACCATGTACTACACCAAAGTCAAAATGGATCAAAGATCTAAACGTTAGAAAAGAAACAACCTGTTGGAAGATAATGTAGGTAAAACCCTTGAAGTCCTAAGTATAGGGGAGAATTTTCTGAACAGAACCCCAACTGTGCAAGAAACATCAAGAATCAACAAATAGGATTTATCAAATTAAAAAGCTTCTGCACAGCAAAGAAAACAATCAACCAAGCAAAGAGACAATCTATAGAATGAGAAAATATTTTTTGACAGCTACATCTGAGACACAGGACTAATATCTAGACTATATAGAGAAACTAAAAAGAAATTAGACCCCCAAATATAAAATCCAATCAAAAAGAATACATGGAATCATAGAAGAAATACAAATGGCCCATAAATATATGAAAAACAGTTCAACATGGCTGTCCATTCAAACATGCAAAATAAAACAACACTCAGATTTCATTTTACTCCAGGAAGAATGGCAAACATCAAGAAATCAAATAGTAACAAATGCTGGCAAGGCTGTGATGAAATGTAAGCTATTACAATCACTATGGCCATCAATATGAAGACTCTTCAAAAAAATGAAAAGTAGAAATTCCACTCAACCCAGCTATTCTTCTTCTAGGTATCTTCCTGATAGAGTTAAAGACATATTACAGCAAATGCCAATGTTTATAGCAGCACAATTCATAATAGCTAAATCGTGGAAGCAAGCTGTATGTCCATCAACAGATGAATGTATTAAAAAAATGAGGTGTTCGTACACAATGGAGTACTACTTTGCTATAAAGAAGGATGAGTTTGAACTATTTATAAGGAATTCAATGCACTTTGAAAACATAATGTGAAGTGAAATAAATCAGACACATATGCTTAAATACCATATAGTTTCTCTCATATGAGATACCAAAATATAAATAAAGAGCAAAATAAAGGAAAGAAAATGTGTTTATATACAGTGGGGTACTGCCCTGCCATAAAGAAGATAAATTTTGGGCTGCGGATTTAGCTCAGTGGTTTCACCGCCTGCTACACAAGCGCAAAGACCCGAGTTCGATCCCTGTTACCAAAAAAAAAGAAGATAAATTTTATTCCTTTGTAGGAAAATAGATGTACCTTGAGACTAGAGGCTTAAGTGAAATAAATGGGACACAAAGCTTAAGTATTGCACAGTTTCTCTTACATGAGAAACCCGTAGTATAAATAAATTAAACAACAAATAAGAAACAGGAAGATAGAGCTTTTGTAAAAGGAGACCAAAAGATGGAGGGAAGGGGGAGGAATGGGGAAGGGGATTAAAAAACAGCATGTGTTATGTACATGTACCAACTCCATACAATGAATATAGTCACTACTGTAAGGATATATTCTACCTAAGTTTTAATTTCTCTCTCTTTTTTTAGACAGGCTCTCACTACATATGTAGCTCTGGCTGTTCTTGAACTCACTATGTGGCCCAGACTGGCCTTGAACTCAGCCTCCCAAGTGGTGGGAGTATAACTGTGCATTATAAACTGAGTATGTAAAGGGTTTAATTTTTAAGATTGCAGCAAGAACAAAATAATAAATGTTAATTATTATTTTCATTCTTTTATGCCAAGTGGTTACAAAATATGTGATCATAGAAATACAGGGAAGAATGTCAAGAATTCTTTGATATAAAAATTTGCCTGAGTCATAATTTCATTTAAAAATAGAATCAGGGCCAGGGATTTAGCTCAGTGGTTCCACCGCCTGCCTCGAAAGCACAAGGACCCGAGTTCGATCCCCGGTACAAAAATAAAAAATAAAAAATAAATTTTTTAAATAGAGTCAGGATACAAACAGGAAGTTTTATTTAAAAAGTTGTGAGTTCTAATCAAATGTAAATGATAACAAGACTTTATAAACATTTTAAGTAGCAAGAAACAATCCCTGGTTTTGAGTCGTCTGTGGGCCAGGATGTCTCTGAGAGCCAAAGAAAGTAGGGTAAGAATCAGAACATTTTCTATGTGTAATATGTTTTAAGTATCTGTGGACATTACCCTTTATACTCCAAAACCAAAAAGAAATAACTCTACTTATTTTCTGCTACTATTTACGTTAAACTTTGTGCTAAAATCATGGTGAAGAGCTACTCTGTGGATGTAAATCCAAATTCAAGAATTGTTTAAAATTTCATAGTAGGATTTCAGGCTTTATAGTTCAGTATTTAACTTGTATTTTACTTGCTGGGGTTCTTAACATAACTTGGGAGAAACTGTTTTATATCTATATATATGAGGGGAGGGAAAAACCTCTTGGCAATAATAATCCCCTTAATTAAAAAAGGAAGTTGAGGGCCAGGGATTTAGCTTAGTGGTTCTGCCACCTGCCTTGCAAGCACAAGGACCCAGTTTGATCCCCAGTACCAAAAAAAAAAAGGAAGTTGCAGGGCCGCGGATTTAGCTCAGTGGTTTCGCCACCTGCTGTGCAAGTGCAAGGACCCGAGTTCAATCCCCAGTACCAAAAAAAAGGAAGTTGCAGAAGAATGTATAAAATACGGTATTGTGTAGGAGGTCACCTTTTCCTTCTTTACTCTTTCATTTTTCCGAACTCCAGAAAAATAAACTGACTTAAGGATCATTAATGGATACTAAAAATCATTAGGTAAAAAGTTAATAGTGAAGAGAGTATTTATGTGATGCCAAAAAGTACTCTACAAATTAACTGCAGATTGAAAAGGGGGAAAGTTGACAAGTGTGTAATTCATTAAAAACTCCTAATGCTAGTAAGGAAAAAAAAGTATGAGAATATGGTATCCTTAGATTAAAAGAGATTAAAGAGAAACAACGGGCAATGTATGAAACTCAGGTTGAATCCTAGTGTTTTAAAAAAACCTGAAATTGTGAATTCCTTCATAAACCTTGGTTTACCCAAGAAAGGCAAAGTTACTGAGAGGCAACAACTGAGCTTATACTGTGAGGTCCATGGAATTAGATCAACCTATGAGGATAAAAAGAAAAAGGAAATATCTCTGAAACATAAAGGTACAAAAAAAAAAAAGTCAAAATTTTCAAAAGCAAAGATGACTGGTTTATACCATAAAGAAAACAAAGGAAATAAGAAAACCAGAAACCAATCACAAGTCACAAATTCACATACTCAGATAAGCCACCTAGTAGGTAAATAAGCCTCAGAGGTTAAGGAAGATGGGAAAAGAACAACATACCTTCAGTGTTAAGAAGGTCTCTGAACTCTAAAGATAGACAAATTGCCAACAGGCATATAAGAAAACGGCCAACATCATTACTCACACAGGTAAACACAAACCAAAACCACACTGAGATATGCTTCACACCTATCAGGGTAATGATAATTTTAAAAAAGACAAGTGCTGAACTGAGAACATTGACATACTGCTGGTGGAGATGTAAAGTGGTGCAACTGCTGTGGAAGTCTGGCTGCTCCTCTGAAGGGTGGACATGGAATCACCATGGAATGCAGCACACATGCATGAGACAGAACTTCGGATGTACCCTGCACTACAACACAGATAAACCCTGAAAACATGACGCTGAGAGAAATGAATGAGACACAGAGGACAAATGTTTATCATTTTACTTATGTGAGGGATCCAGAATAAGCAAATTCTTAGAAATATAAGTAGAACAGTGGTGGAAAGAAGAGGATGGGGAATTAAAGGATTTCTACCCAATGTCACTAAATTATCTATTTTAAAGTGGTAAAAATGGCAATTTTTATATAATACATATTTTACCATAATTTTTAAGTTATCTTATAATTTTAAAGTGTTTACAAGTTTTTGTTTTAGGATTTGGGGATTTTGTTTTGTTCTTGTTTTTGAGACAGTTTGCACTACATAGTTGAAGCTGGCCTTGAACTCAAGCGTGTAGCCCAGACTGGCCCTGAGCTCACTTGGATCCTCCTGCCTCAGCCTCCCAAATGCTGAGATTGCAGGCATGTTCCACCATGCCCAGCTATAACATTTACAAGTTTTTACCTAAACTTTTAAAAGGTGAATTAACTAGCAACATCTGCCAATAAGGAATGAGAATTTTTTATTGTGTTAATGCTAAATTTGTTTGCTGAAAATAGGGGCTGAAAGATTGGAATAGCCAGTAATTATTGTATTATCCTTTAGATTTTTACATACAAGCTTTACAACCAAGATTAAAAGTATGGTAATTATAGACTTTCTTTTTATTTGTACCCGTAACATTCCCAATTTAGGGGACATTGAGAAAAAAAAGAAAACATTTAATACTTCAATATTGTCAGATCCAGGTCACAGTAACCTGATGAAAGACTTAAAAGTGTTTTCACAGATCAAGGGGTCTCAATGTTCTTACTAATGTGGTAAAATATCTGAACCCACAAACTCTGAAACTAGAAGGGAAATAAAGACCATTGCAGAAAAATTCAAGAAAATGAACCCATACAAGTGCGTATGTGACATGTGGTTAAGCAGAAGGCAAGGAGAAACTCTACTGATTTTCCATATTATTTTGCCTTAAGCAACAACAGTTACAGATTTTGAATAGAGTTTGCAGAACTCTTTGGTTTAAAAAGTCACAATTTCAGAAAAAAGTCATTGCTTATGGTAAATATAGACTCACTGCATTTTCATTTCTGTAGTAGTGCTCTGGAGTACAAACTCAAAGTAGCCCCAAATTCTAAGTATCTAGCTTAATAGGAAGAGCCAGTTTCAAGAGTATCAGAACAGGAAACTAAAGTCTGCCAACAACAACTGTAATGCCAATATGCAAATTCCAAGCCACCACACTCCGTGTTTATGTGCTTCTGTAAAAGGACATTCTCTCAAAAAACACTGGAATCATTACTAATATAAATCTGAAGTCTAAATAGGGATACACCCTAGCTGATTTTCAAAAATAATCTTTAAAGGCGAGGGCGCGGGTGCTGCTGGCGGGACCCGGGCCGCTACGAAGGGCGGCAGGGGCGGCGCCCGGGGCTGGGATGAGCTGGGGGCTCCGTGGCGGCTGCATCGGTGACTGCGAGGGGAAGAGCTAGTGTTGCGGCGCGGGGACTCAGTGCAGCCAGGCGGGTGAGTGGCGGAGGCGCACGCGAAGCCTCAGGGCTCTGCGCCCACCAAGGCGACCCAGGGCGAGCCCGGCTACCTGGCTGCGCAGTCGGACCCGGGCTCGCTGGACTCCAACAGCGAGCGCAGCACCTACTCGCCAGTGCCCGGCTCCGAAGACGACCTGGGCGCCGGGGCACCCCGCACAGCCCCGAGGGGAGCGAGGAGGGCTTCCGCGTGGACAGAAAGAAACTTGAAGCCATCTTACAAGCTGCAGCTGAAGGAAAAGGCAGAAGTGGGGAAGACTTTTTTCAAAAAGGAATCCGGAAAGCATGTCTGGAGGAACACCTATACAGTTGTGCGGCAGGAAGGGAAGCTGTAACTGTAGATGAAGTTAAATGGCACTTGGGAGGGTGTTAGGGTTTCTATATAGCTGCCCCCCCAAAAGCCTCAAGTGATCATAGGTGCAGCTTTGGGGAGGTGACTGGATTATGAGAGTGGTACAGCTGGCTTGCTGTTGGGAAGCAAGGTCTGGCTGTCGGAGACAAGTCACTTTCTTTTTGATTTTTATAAGGACTCAAGCTAAGAATTTACCTTAGTTCTCGGGAGATTTTGGACTTGGACTTTCAGCAATGCTGAAACTGTTGAGACTTTGGCAACTCTTAGAGATGAACTAAATGCGTTTTGCATATTATAGTGATACATTCATATTCACATTTATAGCAATACAATTTAAATAGCTAAATCTTGGAAATGGCCTATATGCCCATCAACAGATGAATAGATAAAGAAAATTTGTATACAATGGAGTACTACTCTTCATAAAGAAGGATAAATTTGATTCATAGGATAAATGGATGCTTTTTTTTTTGGTTTTCTGAGACAGGGTCTCTCTATGTAGTTCAGTTTGGCCTTGAACTCGTTATGTAGCCTAGGCTGGTCTCAAACTCACAGCGATCCTCCTGCCTCAGCCTCCCAAGTGCTGGGATTACAGGTGTGAGCCACCATACCGGGCCAAATGGATACATTTTGAGACCATAAATATTAAGTTAAATAAATCAGACACTCAAGCTTAAATGTCACATGGTGGTTTCTCTTACATGAGAAACCTAAAATATAAACAAAGAGCAAAATAAAAGATAGATAATAGGAAGTAGAAAAATCTTTTTAAAATGGGAAGGGGACCAAGAGATGAAAGGAGCAAGGAAGGATTTGTGGGGTAGAAAATGAAAGAATTAAGATGTGTTATGCATGTATGCCAGCTCCCCATGATAAATGTAATTGTGTACTGCACACATGTACTAATAAAAATAGTAGATTCATTCAAAAAACAAAAAGATGAAAAAGGAAAAAAAAATCTCTAAAACCTTTAAACACCTTTCATTCTTCATTAGCAATAAAACTGTAATTGTTCTGCTAGTGTGTTCCTTTGCAAATATTCCTTGAGCATTTATTGTCCAGTATAGTACTAAATGCCAGGGCTGGAAATACAGAAATGACTATACCAGATAGAGTTCCTATCTTCATGTGACTCAATGTTTAATACATATGAGAATAAATGATTCTACAAATATGTAATTATAATTCTGGTTAGTGCTACAAAAGACATCAAACATGCAGTCATCTACAGCCTGTGTAATCTTGGACCTCAGCTTCTTTAGCAGTAAATCTAAGAAGTAGATCTGAATGATTCCTTAAGATCCTTTTATATTTTACTGTTCATTTTAGTAGCACTGGATATTAAACCCAGGGCCTTTGCACTGAGCTACATCCCTAACCCTTTTTAAATAAATGTTTTTATTTTGAGACAAGTTCTTATAAGCCACTAAAGTGACCATCTCCAGTCTTAGATTCCCAGAGTGCTGATTACTGGTGTGTACAACAACCAGTTTAATCTCCTCTTTAAAATTTTATAAATCTAATCATGTGAAACTTCATTTCCAGAGTCTCTTGGTCAGGATATTTACTTTTATAGAATCTATTTAGCAATGGAATATAGTTTCCCAATACATAAGTATTTCTGTCACAAAAATATAAGGATAAATAAAGTAATCTTCACTGTTAGAAATTTTAAGTCCAAATTCCACATGTTAAAAATACTGCAATGTTCTAATTTACAAAGCATAAATAAAAGAACGAATGTGCATAAATTATCCATCTGTATCAGAAATACTCTGAGAACTTTTAAAAATGCACCTTTTCAGGCCCTAACCAAGACCTAGACAAAATGTCTGAGGTAAGGCCTGGGACCTGCATTCCAGTGAACTTCTGAGGAAATTCGAACACACGCTATGCTTCAGCAAACAATGTAAGAGAGCGTTTCAAGTATAACACTGTAGGTGAGGGTTATAATAAACCTACTTGCGTAGCTTTGTCCCTCATGCAAGGCACAGCTTGCGCGTGGCTGTCCCGAGGCCAGTGCCCAGCTAGGTACGGAGCTGCCAGTGTATCCAGGGAGGACGTGCGGCGGATACTACTGGAGGGGCTGCAGGGCGGCAGTCGGGCTTTGTCACCTAGATTTAAGGCAAAGAAGTTTATTTGTTTTTAAATAGTTTAAGAAAACAAAGTAGAAACTGAGTTTTAAATTACACAGAAGTTTTCCAACTTAAATACATAAAAATAAAATATATAAACTAATGTGCAAGGATGTGGGATGAATCCCCAGCAGCAAGAAAAAAAAGGAAAAAGGTATTGATGCACACACAAGGAAGAATCTCTGGAATTATACTGAGTGAAACCAGTCAATCCCAAATGGTTACACACTATGATTTCATTTACATAACATTACATAAGGTCAGGGCCAGCATGGGCAACCTAGCAAGAACTTGTCTCAAAAACCAAAAATTAGGGCCAGGGATTTAGCTCAGTGGTTCCACCGCCTGCCTCACAAGCACAAGGACCCAAGTTTGATCCCTGGTACCAATAGAAAAAAAAAAATTAAAAGGGCAGGGGATGTAGTGCAATGGTAGAATCAGTTTGGCTTTGACAAGAGAGGAAGGGGGGGAATAAGCACACTGTTCCCAACTTCAAACTTTTCATGGAATTAGCTGTGTTAAAAAAAAGTTTGACAGGGCTGGGGATTTAGCTCAGTGGTTACGCAGCCTGCCTTGCAAGGACCTGAGTTTGATCCCCTGTACCAAAAAAAAAAAGTTTGACAAAGCTTTTGTAAATGAGGAGAAGGGTTGAAGGGAGGGGAGGGGAATGGGGAAAAAAATCAAGATACACTATGTACAGGTACAAATTCCCTATGAGGAGTGTGATTATTGTATGTACCAAAAGTGTACTGATAAAATTAATTTTTTAGAAGTTTATAAAATAGTTATATTCATTCTTCTCAGTGAATTAAAAAAAAGCTTACCGAAACTTAATGAATTAGCCACTTACTTGGAAAGCAGTATCCGTTATACTATGACCTTAAAAGTTATTCATAAGATAAGTGGTAATTTAATCAATAGGCTTAAATATTATATATGTTCAAAAAACCTCTCTCCTGCTCCAGGGTTTCACTAAGACATCATGACTCCCATTTAAGGTGCACTCTTTCCAAATTCCATTAGTCCAGAACCCTTGCTGCTCAGCCTCCCACTCACTCGTGTGTACCAGCTATGCACGCCTACTTCTGACTCTGAGAAGGCAACATCTGAATAGAGACCCTAAAGAAAGACATGTACAAAAATCCTGGGGGCAAGGAAGACAAGCAGACAGGGTACCTAATAGATAACAAAAAGGCAAAAAAAAAAAAAATTAAGTAACTTCTGAAATAAATACATTAAACTAAAATTAGTTCCAGTATCTACTAAAATTAAAACTCAAAGGATGGGTTAAAAGATTAAATATAGCTTCAAAGGGAATTCATGATATGAAAATATAAAGAGAAATTACTCAAAAAAGCACAAAGAAGTGAGATGAACAATATGAAAAGGAAGAGACAAAGACAGAACTAATGAAAAAAGCACTAAAACACTAGATAACAACATGAGAAGAAGATGACTTGAGGACTGAAACAATTAGGTCTCTATTTTAGCCTAGGAAATAACATTTTAAGATTTGGCACTAACAGGCCCAGGATTTAGCTCAGTAGTTTTGCTGCCTGCTGTGCAAGTGCAAGGACCTGAGTTCAATCCTCGGTACCAAAAAAGAAAAGATTTAGCAATAACTCCAAAAGTACAGAGAATGTATGCCAATGACTCAATTTGCTACCTCAGAGTAACTTTCCTGTTAAGCTCTCCAGGAATTCCCAGCTAGTTTTCATTTTTTGTGTGGGGAAGGGTGTTTCGGTGTTATTTTTGAGTACTGGGAATTGAACCCAGGGGCTTTGTACTGAGCTGCAGCCCCAACCTTTTTTGTTAAATTTTGAGACATGGTCTCATCGTTACTAAGTTGCTTGGGCTGGGCTCCACTTTGTAACCCTCTTGCCTCAGCCTTCTGGTGCTGAATTATAGGTATATGCTCTCACTCTCGCTGGCTTACTCTAGTTTGTGCCTATCAAATTCCTCTCGGAGAGAACCAAAGAATTGAGCAATTCCTGCTCTTCAGTTCTACAGGAAGCCAAATGCTGTGGTGCACACAGAACCTCATTGAGAGCAGGCTCACATTCTAAAAGTATATGTCAGCATTAACAGACTCATTCAGCATTCTTGTTAAAAATGTACATTCCTATCCTGCGTGATGGTAGAGCAGAAGCCGGCAGCAAATCACAGCTTCTCTGGGACCTGGAATTGAGACATACGGAAAACTACTAAGCAATGACAAAGATGAAGAGCTCTCAGAATCAAGAAAGAGCCAATAGGAAAGCTAAAACCAGAGAAACAGAAGACTGCGCAAAGAACAATTAATCTGGATTGCTAACCCTAGCTCTGGGATGGAGGGGGCCCCAGCTCTGCAAGGCAGCCTTTTAGTTTCTACTGTCACTATTAATGGGGTACCACTTTCGCTTTTAACTGGTCTTTACTGTATGTCAATATCTGACTTGTCTTTGTGTCTATTTATTGTAGCTGACTTCTTTTCAATTGTTAATGATGCCATAATTGTTGCTTTTAATTGATTTTTACTCTATGTTGATACCTGGTTTGTCCCTATGTCAACTGTCAAGAGTGAATGGACAGCCTGCAGAATGAGAGAAAATCTTTGCCAGCTACTCCTCACGTGGAGGATTAAATAGCTAGAATATACAGAGAACTCAAACAACTTGACACCAAAAGATCAAAAAGTCTAAACAGTAAATGGACAAATGAATTGAACACACACATCTCAGAACAGGTACAAATGGCCACTAAGTAAGTATGAAAAACTGTTCCACATCTAAGGCCATTAGGGAAATGCAAATGAAAATGGGAGATTCCATCTCACCCCAGTCAGCACGGTTATCATCAAGAATACAGTTCTAGGGCCGGGGATTTAGCTCATTGGTTTCGCTGCCTGCTGCGCAAGTGCAAGGACCCGAGTTTGATCCCCAGTACCAAAAAAAAAAAAAAAGAATACAGTTCTAGGGCCAGGGATTTAGCTCAGTGGCACTGTGCTTGCCTCACAAGTGCAAGGTCCTAAATTCAATCCCCGGTACCACCCCCTAAAAAAGAATACAGTTCTCTCTGTGACTCTGGTTGCAGACCAAACTGGACAAGAACCAAATCAAATTTCCCCCTAAGGTAAACAATGACCCCTAACCCTTTAAATTTGATTCAGTTCTCATCCATCTCAGTTTGAGACCAGAATCATGGAAAAAACTAAGTTCATGAACCAAAGTACCACTGTACAAACAAGCCAGGCATTGGGGCACATACCTGTAATCCCAGCATTGAGGAGGCTGAGGCAAGAGGGCCACCTCCAGCAGTTTGAGGACAGCCTGGGCTACACAGTGAGATCACAGTAAGCCTGAACTACATAGTGAGACCCTATCTCAAAAAACCAAAAACAAACAAAAAAACAAAGAGCATATAAAATCTCATTGTAGATGGCATTAACAGATGAACATTTCCAACTGATTTTAAGATACAGAACACTAACTTTGAAACAAAGTAAAATGTTATCCCTCTAAAAAGAATTCCTTCTCAGAACTGTATTACAAAATATGTATATTATCACATTTTTAAATCTCAATTTAAAATGTGTAAAAAGTCATTTTCTCTATTATGTAAGTACCTACATACAGCTTTAGATTTTGCCTCTTTTTTTTGTTGTTTTTTTGTTTTTGTTTTTGGTACCGGAGATCAAACTCAGGACCTTGTCCTTTCAAGGCAGGCACGGGAGCCACTGAGCTAAATCCCTGGCCCTAGATTTTGCCTCTTTACCTGCAGAGATTAACACTTTACTATCTGATTCATTACAGGAAAAGTCTGCTGACCCCCTTCCTTACGGGCAAGGTCTTGGTTTCTGTGCTAGGACCCCACCACCACCACCACCATGGAGAATGGGGTAAGCTTAGCTAATTTATACCTAACACTGACAGCGGCTTTAAAAAAGATTTAAAAAAAAAAACAAAACAAACAAGGTCTAGGGCCAGGGATCTAGCTCAGTGGTTCCACTGCCTGCCTCACAAGTGCAAAGACCCAAGTTTGATCCCCGGTACAAAAAAAATAAAAAATTAAAAAATAAAATAACAAGGTCTCACTATGCTGCCCTGACTGGTCCTGAGCTCCTGGGCTCAAGTGATCCTCCTGTCTCAGCCTCCAGAGTGTTGAAACTACAGTCAGGCACCACCACATTTGGCTTAAAAATATTAAATATATGCATAAGACCATATTACCAATACTGTCATTCTAGTTCCATATAATGGCAAATACTTTGCTCTTCTTGTGTGAAGAGCCATACATGTGTGAGAACACTTTTTATACCTCTCCTCTAATTGTATTACTTTATTGTCTTAGGGTAAATCCAGTTGCTGGTTATGTGATCCACACAAGGTTCAAATTTCACTAAGACAATAGTTACTGCAACTGTATTGCAGATAATCGTAAAAGCTGCTTCACAGATATGCCTCAGATACATAATTTTCTTTCAAAGTGGCACAAATATTTCATAAAAACAATATCCATTTGTTATAAATGCTAATTATCTCTCTAGTCTTCCTTTTATAGTGTATTTTGGTTCAACAGAACAGAAATGCATGCAGTACATAACCGTAAGTCATAACCCAAATGACTACGACAAAAGAAAATCATTAAATACACAGCATGTTCACAAAATTTCTTCTAACTAAAAAGTAATCCCTACTGAGACAGTCACAAGAAGACTGTTCTCAGCTGAGGTGGGAGCATACAACTATGTAAACTGGTATATATTCATTAAAACCCAATTGCTAAAAGGCCATCTGGCACTTTCTTCCCCCAACTACAACCAGTTGTTGCTTCAGTTCCTTGCCAGCACACTCAACCTACCTACCTCACTAACGTCTCTGATTTCACAGGACCCCCAAGATCATTAGAATTATTATTATTGTTTCTATAACAAATTAGTGAACAGAAGAGCTACACAGTGGCAGGTAAAAACACTAAACATCTGTTCTGAACATCCTTCT